CTTACTTTTTTACATTTCTGCCCTCATTTCATTAATCAGTGATCCCAATCATCTTTGATTGTTTGATTCAAAGTATCTGTTATGAATTTATTTTTTAAAGAAAAAAAGAAAGAAAAAAAAAGTTCTGTCATTTGCTTTTTCAAGGTTACCATTACCCAGTTCATCCTCTATTACTTCCACTGACATGTTTCTCCTCTCCTTTTTCCAACCAACTGTTTTTAATCAGGGCTGAAATTATGAATGCAAACAGGCAACCAGAGCAAGAATAATAGGACTGAAAAATAAGCCAGAAATTAAATCTATCAAGGTCAGCAATCACGTTTAATATAACATTAAAATATTAACTAGAATTTGTGCAAAAGGTCCCACTTCCTTGAGTTTTATCCCTGTCATTGAAGCAAAAGTTCACATGTGATTTTATTCCCAGCAGAACATTGCTTAATAAGAATTGTGACATTGGGAAAACCTGGCATGAGAACGAGTAGGAAGTGTTCAAACACCTCAGTTTTAAGGAAAGAGAGGTTTTATCATTAACTCAGTGTCCCAGTAAAGGGTTTTAAGAGTGCAGTGCATTACCTTCTATCATGTTTTGCAGATAATTTGTACAAAAATCACAATCAGACCAAAACAGAACAAACCAAGAAAAACAAGGAAGTTGCTTTTCAATCTAAGTGGCTGAAAAGTAACTTCCTTTGAGATAAAGTAATCAATAAATAAAGATTAAAAGACTCAAGTCGCAAAAGAGCCGTCAAAAGCAGGCCACAGAGGATGAGCGGTGTATCTATAGCACTTCTCAGGAGCCTTAACACGGGCAAACAAGATAGACCTGCAATGTACAGTAGATGAGCAGATGAACAGGAAGGAAGATGCAATTTATCAAATTTATCAATTTATCAAACACATACTGACAATGATGTCTCAAGTCACACCTACTATGCTGGATCAACACCATGGTAGGCGATGAAGTGAACTAGCACAGCACAAGCATGACACACTGGCTCTCACCATCGCAACACGATGCTCTCCATTATGCTAGCTGCTTATTATATCAATATTTTGATGGCTGTAAGGTAGGTTTAGATGTTTCAAAAGAATGAAACATCCATGCATGTTTAGATCATGTGACTACAAGCAAATGATGTCACACCCTTTCTTGCACTACTTTATAGCAGGTTTGCACAGACCATCAGTTTTCTTGGTGTTTTATCACATACTCAGTCCAAATGTATCCAGTTTTTATATTCTTCTCATTACCAACAATGCAAGATTTAGGTTTAACAAAATATTCTATTTCTCAGAAAATCTGGACACCACCAGCTGCCATATAGCAGTGAAAAAGTCAGACTGAATAACAGCTCGCTCCCCTAGCTCAGACTTTCTTAATGACCTGAATGCAGGACCTCGGGGTAAAAATGCACCACGCTTTACTTTCTCTCACAAAATTGAAACAGGGAGCTGATAACGGTTGTTAAACGCACTCATCTGGCAAATTATAACTTCAACCCTTTTCCATTATTGGTTTATTTTCAGAGTGATGGCACAGTGATGATCTGTCAGTGATGATCTGTCAATGTCAAAAGGCAACTTGCTTGCTCTTTCTCACATTTCTCTGGCAATGACTGCTAAAAAAGAGCAGACTACATATCCCCACGGCAGAAAATTTTACAGGAGTACCACATAAAGTAGAGAAAGTCTTAATTGATGGCAAAACCCTGATGTAAATTTACAAGTCTAACTTTAATTAACCAATTAATAATCTAATTAACTATTTCACAGACTCCTGAAGTTTGCTAGAAAGTGAATAATAATGAAATAATTGAAAAGAAAATGAACTGATTGCAACAAACAATGGACCAGGAAACAACATGTTGGCATGTGTCATCTATCCAGATAATCTGGACAATGGAAGGACTTTTTTTTTTTTAAAAAAAAACACACATTGCAATCCTTTGCACTCAATACATGAATATGTTATTTAAAAAGAGGCACAACTGTCAGTTCATGAAAAGCGATAGAATAAAATAATGCGTTGTGTCTCCAACACAAGTTAATTTTTTTTTTTTTTTAAAAAGGGGGTAAGGCAGAAAAAGATTTAAATGGCAGAAAATTCATGTCTCACAGACATGCAAATGCACAAAGAAGTCAGGGCTAGAGATCGAGAGAGAAAATAGAGAGGGGTAACAATGCCCATTGTTCCATTAGAAAAGACAATAATGATTGATAAAATGAGGTTACTAAAGAGGACACAATGGTCCTTAATTGACTCATTAGGGAAAGAAGAGAATGAACTAATCAGCAGAGAATGAGTGCTGCAGCTAAACTGCTTGGTAAGCAAAACAGAAAGGCTTTTAGTTTATTAAATCTAGCCAAAGCAATATTGTTTGTTCACAGAAAGAGCCCGTCAGGAGAAAAACAAAGCAGGTAAAAAGGAAGTGTGTGGAGTGTCTCAGTCTTTTACTTTTATTAATACCGATGCATTATTATATTTGATAGGACTCGTGGGTGAAATTGGGGAGGTGCTTGTGTGCACAGCGCATACCTCTAGGTGTTCCAGGATATATGGTGGATTCGTCATCCCCAGCCTTAGCATGGCACCTTCGGGAATCTCCTCCACCAGTCTCCACAGCAGCGTGGGCAGGTCTGTCCCTATGTCTCTACCGTAAGCACCGGTGTCCTCACTGGTCAACCAGATCTCGCACACTCCCTCTACAAAGGCACGCACATATAAACATGCTCATTAACCATAGTAAATTCATTAATTCATATGAGGTAACAGCCACCAATAACCACCATCAATAATCAAAGCAGGCTGCGTATTAGTTCCCAAGTGGGAACAGTTTACAGTGACTGTGGGTACTGTTGTACTTAAGGGAATCTCATGTTAACATTTCACTAATTTGATTAAAAATAACCTTACCTACTGAAGGTAATGAATGAAAAACATGTAGGCTGAAACCTGAGGGAGATATTTGACTGTTAAATTAACTGAATCAAGCATTCCACTTTAGAGTTAATGTTTAGCTTGTGTGTTAAAATACCTTTTTCATGTTTAACGACTTAGTTAAAATTATCCATGCTGCTTGTGCTATGAAGACATCGCTCTCCTCCACCACGTATTATTCAAAGTTGATTTTAGCGCTGCATATTTGAAACTTTCAAAACTTTGGCTAATTTGAGGTCAGAAGTTCGCTGATAGCATTCTGCAAACTGCTTCACAGTCCTATTTTTGACATCCATACAGCCCGTTATGGCTGTCTGCTTAAAATAAGTCCAATTAACAATTACCGTCTGTGCTCCTGACTAATGAGCAACACCTGAAAAAGCTTTAAAATGCCCTTCGTAAAACTCTCTCCTGCTCTCATAGCTATAATTCTCTGCGGGAGTCTCCTCACATCACATTATTTTCTTCTTCTTTAAGCAACTGTCAGAATAAACGTAAAAGTTGGTTTTTACTCTGTTTTACTTCCTCCTTCATCTGTTATTAGAAATACTAATGTAAATAGTTATGACAGCCAAGCTCAAACTCCAAAGGTTCCATGTCATTATCTCACCTTCTCTCAGGTATCATTATTTCACTGCCACTCTGAAGCTTTTGATGTCATTGCTTATATATGCCAGGTCTTTGATAGAAACCCCATTTATGACAGTCACTGACGAGTATTAAAAATACCAGAGTTGTAAACATGGATTGCAGGAATGTGAAGGTCAAATGCAGCAAGAGAGGGTGATCAACTGGCTTCATGCTAAATTAGAGCAACGCTCAGTGCTAGAGCTTAATGAGCTAAGTGTCATTTGACTGCAGGTCCGGAAATGGCTGAGTGTCTGTTTAAGCTATGTGTTAAGACATATTATATCACACAGGCACACATAAACACATTTGCACTTGCAGGGGGACAAGTATTAGGCACACACACGCAAATGCACACAACCATCATTATCATTAGCTATGCAGAGACAGACAGAAAGATGCATGTGGTCATACCGTTTGGCTAATTGGACAGTGTGTGTATGTGTGTGTGTGTAGAGGTGAGCATGGGCCAGATAGATTAAAAATGATGACGGTGTAATTGTCTGGAGTCGAATTAAAGTGTTTCCAGAGCTCATCGTCGACATTAAGAAGCACTAATGATTTCTGTCGCCAGCCGCGTCTAAAATCGCAATCAAATGCATCCATCAATCACACATGCTTAAATCGTATCAGGCCAGCATGCACACTATATAAGAATATATCAAGATAGCTTCAGTGTGCAATTAATCCGATGCATATTTCACCTTCGGACAATATTTAATAATAACCTAGTTCATTAAACTCCCTATCATTATTTAATTCATTCAATTTATTATGCTTAGAAAGTATGCGCTGTTTTTAAGCAACGTGTCTCCTCACAGGCATAAGACCTTCCCGTCTGCTGCTGGCCACCAGACATCTTCAAACCCCCCTAGAGGTCGAGCATATCTCATATAGACGTGTTATCTTCTAATATGAATTTGTAATGGTGTTTATTTACGGCAGTATTTACTGTATTTATGTAATTTGTCACATTCCCATCTTTTAAAGGTAAAGAAAAGCATTGATAGCAATTCCATGGACAGCTCAAATCAGCTTGTTTGGGCTCAGTAATACCAATGTCACTACCAAGTCAGGGACCTTGACGGCATCATCTACATACCAGTAATAACCAAAACCAGCACAATAACAGTGTCCTTTTCAGCTTAACTGTTGCAGAAAGACACTGGCCAAATGATGGCCTCATTCACAGCCAAACGTACTTTGAAATGACCTCTGAGCTAAATTGCTTCCTTCCAAAACAACATTCTTGTGATTCCAGTCCAATAATGCTGTACAAATAGTAAGCATATATATTGTTTGCTGTGAAATATTTCTGAATCCCCTGTTAATTATGTTTTGAGCAGGGTGATGCTTTGCAAAAGTCTCTTATGTTTACTCAAGGCCACAGCCGTGCACAGATCTCCAGCTCAACTCAATAACCTACCCAGTAATTTGCCCTTTTGGCTTGCTTCTCGGTCCTTTTGTGTCAGGTGTGCCAACGGTGTTATTGTTGGCCAAATACAGAGAGGAGGCAGCTATTAGGAAATGCCTGCCCTTCTGTATCTGGTCTTATACAAGCTGCACATCTGCTTCCTCTGCTTTTGTTTACGTGTAGTGACGAGAGGTCACAGTGGTGAAGTGCTGACAACTGTCTCCTGTCAAGATGGTGCAACAAAGTCACGATCTCTGTCAGGAGGAATTTGTGAACCTAATAGCGCATTAGCCATTGCTTTTCATAATGTACTCGAAAATAATTTATATACAGTACGCCTAATTGCCATCATATTATCATCATCATATTATCTGGCTGCGAGTGGTTTTACTTCAATAGATACTTTCTGGTGAGTAGAAAGTATGTACACTGCTGAATGGTTTAGGGAATACTGTTCTGAGCACATTTTGGCCTCTGATACCATTGAGAAATATGAATATTGATCATGTACTATCATTGTTTTATTATTATTTTTTAATATGGGAAGATGAATCCCATGCAACAAAGTCAGGAGGGACACATTTCCATTGTGCTTTGGCCTGTGCGTGTTGACATTACACATCAACATTTGACCCAAGTCCTTTTTCCAACCACTTTATGATGTCGTTTGATGTCAGAGCAGTTCCAAACACGGGTGGGTAGCACACCCGTTTTCCTAAACGCTATTAACATTCACTTCATCCTGACAAAGCATAGCACAGACAGTGGAGTGAAAAAGCATGTCAGGGTTTTAAAAAGTCCTGATATGCAAAACAAATTCAAACAAAGGTAAAACCAAAACAAAACACTCAGTGAGATAGATCTGCACTTATGACCACATTCCCAAACCTACAAGCTGAGAGAGAAAGCATGACCACAGAGGAAACAGTTGCACGCTTGTCCAAGTTCCATTCGTCTTTGTCCAAGAACAACACCATCAGTGCGCCTGAATAAACCATACAAAACCATCATCACACCCGGTCTCGGTCAAATACTTGTTTGCTGTGTCTGGGTTTGCTTTTATGGACACGTTTTCATTTTAGACTAAATGCAATTACATTTCTGTAACTTGCAATTATATTTTGCCTCTTATCCTCACAATATGAAAGGTGCTTTCTAGACACAGATTCTTCCCCATTAATCTGACAGCACCTCATAGTGTCAGCTGTATGCCTGAATGCAGCAATTGTTCAACTTTTTCATTAAAGTCAAAATGGACATCTTGCAATGGTACGGTCTAGGAATGTACCATGTTGCATCTTTCAACATGGTACAGCCTGCAGGCACTCTGTAACAAGTATTTGCCCCCTTCCTAATTTCCTAGTGTTTTGCATATTTCTCACATTTACGTGTTTCAGATCGTCAAAAAATGTTAATATCAGACAAAAATAGCCAAAGTAAACAGAAAACGCAGTTTTTAAATGATGATTTCATTGATTAAGGGGGAACAGTAATCCAAACCGCACTGGTCCTGTGTGAAAAAGTAATTGCCCTTCTTGTTAAATCATCAATTAACTATGATTAACTAATTCTTTGGGAAAGTTGAGCTCAGATGCACTAAACACACTCAGGCCTAATTACTGGCAGACCTGCTGAATCAAGAAATCACTTAAATAGAACCTGTCTGACAAAGTGAAGCAGGCTAAATGATCCCAAAAAGTAACAAAGTCACTGAAATATCAGTCTGGAAAGGTTAACAAAGCGATTTCTATTTATTTTCTTTGGGACTCCAGTGAACCACAGTGAGATTCATTGTACACAAATGGAGAAAACTTGGAAAAGTAGTGAAGATTCCCACGAGTGACCGGCTGACAAAAATTACTCAAAGAGCATATTGATGAGTCGTCCAGGAGGTCAAAAAAGAACCAAGAACAACTTTAAAGAACCACAGGCTTCACATGTCTCAGTTAAGGTCAGAGTTCATGATTCAACAATGAGAAAGAGACTGGGCAAAAATGGCATCCATGTTTCAAGGAGAAAACCACTGCTGTCCAAAAGGAACACAAAGGCTTGTCTCATATTTGCCAGAAAAACATCTTGATGATCCCCCCTAAGATATCCGGAAATATATTCTGTGGACTGACGAGACAAAACTTTTTGGTTTGAGTGGCGTTACATTTGGCATGAAAGTAACACAGAAATGGAACATCATACCAACAGTAAAATGGTGGTGGTAGTGTGGTGGGCTAGGGCTGTTTTGCTATCTCGGGACCTGGAAGACTTGCTGTGGTAAACAGAACAATGAATTCTGTTCTCTACCAAAACATCCTGAAGGAGAATATCTGGCCATCTGTTCGTGATCTCAAGTTAACATGCACTCTGGTTCTGCAGCAGCACAATGATCCAAAACACACCAGAAACTCCACCCCTGAATGGTTTAAGAAAAACGAATGAAGACTTTGGAGTGGCCTAGTCAAAGCCCTTAAACAAGCTGGAGGGTTTCACAGGATTAACAATGTGGCTAAATTACAAAAATTCTTCAAAGATGAGTGGGCCAAAAATCCTCCACAGGGCTGTAAAAGACTCATGGCCAGTTATCACAGTTGTTGCTACTAAGGGTGGCCCAACCAGTTATTAGGATTAGGGAGCAATCACTTTT